TATTTCGTGCTGACCTGGGCCCAGGAGGATTGGATATATCATGTGGTGTCCGGACAGTACGGCATCAGTGCTAATGAAGTGGTGGAAAACAAATGCCATTTCATCTTGCATCAGCCGGGGTCACCTCCTCTGCCTCCCCAGCATGCCAAACATGGTGTTCGGGAGGGAGCACTTCTGTGCGTGTTCGGAGTCAGAGCGAGCGATTGCAGCTCCTGCCCCTGCCAGGTTTCCTGCCTGTCATTTCAGCAGGCAGAGGATGGAGCTATGCCAACGTACATGGTGTGCACATTACTCTCTAGAAACTGGAGAAAGAATTAGATGAGTTGCCTCATCCCTGTTAGGAGGCTGTTGGCTCATCAGAGAAGATAATTATGTTTCTTGTTTTCTCTTACCTGTTTTGGAAGGAGTCAGTTTCTCTTGTCATACATGCATCTGTGGCACTATGCTGCCTGTTCCCCAGTGACCTTGCTACAGATGTTCATCTTTATTTTGTTTAGAGAACCTATCAGCAGCTGCTTCTATTTACTGTCACCTGCTGTGCTTTCTCCCATGTTTGCAGTAAGTAGTTAGACGTAACAATTACAAAACAAATACAAGAGAAAACTCTGAGGAGCTAATTTAAGTCAAATGCAGTGAATGAAAACAAACAGTAATTAGTAGGGGAAGAGGAGGAACAGCAGAATTATGCTGCTATATTAAGTTTTTTTGGCTCACTATGTAAATATTTTAAATATGCATTCTCTGGCACTTGCTCTTTTTAAGAGCTCTCTTTTCCCCTCATTTCCTGCTTTCCATGTATGTGTCTCTGAGGAAAAGTGCCTTTGACTGAGATGGCTTTGTGAAAATATTACATTAGTTTGAAGTTTCCAAGGAAAGAGGGAGGGAATTGGAGACAGTGCCACACGGGAGAAGGCAGTGCTGTGCAGTGAGAGGGAGGCTGTGGAGTGGGTAGCCAGACTGGCATCATCGCTACTCTTCAAAGAAAGGCCTTGACGGACATGTGCAATCTTCAGTGATAATTATGAGAAATTCAGCAAAGAGGGTAGGAAGGACACAGCTGAGGGATTTGAATAGGGAACTGAATGAACAAAAGCAATAAAGGTTATCTTTATTGCATAACTTCGGATGACACACTTTGAGACCGATGAATAGGCTTGGTTATTATTACTGAAGTGATATTTCATGATAACAGCTGGGAGCAGAGATTGTTTGGAATGGGTAAAAGATACATGGTTCTGGCCAACTTAAACTGAACTAGTATCTGGAAAGGTATCTGTAAAATTATGTAAGAGGAAAACAAAAAGATTATTGACTGGAAGAATAGAAACAAAACAGGCAACCGCACAAAGATGATTGCAAACAGGGAAGAATAAGGACCAAGAATGGGACTGGGAAAATGGAGCAATGAGAAGGAACTGCATACCGGCATGTTAAACTAGAAATCACAGGGGAGGCTGCAATGAAAGCGGGGTGGGAGGGAGGAGGATTTAAGTCTACCAATAGGTCTAGGAGGTACAGTGGAGAACTTGCTACAAGACATTTTCAGGAACACCTTGTCATTTGGCTGATAATCTGACCAGTATCATTCTTGTGTACAGAACAAGTTCCTGCCATTGCTTTCTCTGGCACTTAGATATTTAAAAAGTCATTTTAATGCTATGATCATCCATCGTTGATGAAGTCTGGTATCTTTGCTCGCAGTGCTGTATGACACAGGTATCTTCATCACGGGGCTTACTTCATTGTGTTACTGGTTCTTTTCTTTCTTTTTAATAATTTTGGTTCTTCTCTGCTTTCGACCATGAGGTTTTTTTCTGGGAATTTTGTGTTTATTCCTCTTCATCCATTTTTTCACTTTTCTGATCCGTGGGCTCACACAGAACTTTCTGCCTTCTATGTAGAGACTGCCAGAGCAAAAACTCGTTGTCAGTTTCAAAGAAAAAATGTAAACACTCCAAATTTTTAAACTTATCATACTTACCACTCACCCATGAAGACCACAAAGTTAGAATTTGTTAATCTTAAATTATATTTTATGTTATGTCTATTCACTTTTGTCTGGTTTCAAATATGTAAAAGTTAAGATTTAAGGTTTACATGGTTACACTTGCCTTCCAAAATCTGAAAAGTCTGAAAAGAACCACAGTGCAAAACAGTACATTTCTATGGCAAATAAATAAGTAGACCACTTTATTATTATTATTGTCATGATCATCATGCAAATATCTAGAAATAAAAAATTTCTTTGAAATGTATCAGTTTAACCCAAACAATGTAATATTGTACCAGCCCCCCCAAAACATTAGAAATAGCTTATGTACAAAAGTAAAGCTGATTTAATGAATTTAGGCAAGGGTTGTAGAGGATCAATACTTGGAAAAAAACAGAGAAGTCTTAAGGTGCATGAGTCATTCTTCAGTTCTGAAAATAAAGCAAGTATCAAAGTGCAGGCTGAATAACGATCAATATCATTACTGAATAAGAAATTCAATTTTAGCAGTCAGAAGTTTAAATAGCACAAGGAAGGACAGTTCTTAAATCACACACAATCTTGTTTTTCATTGCATTTGTGTTGGCATTCTAAGATTCTACTTGTTTAAATGGCACCTAATAGGTTTAACTTGACAGTACTCCTTTCACAGTGAAGGACCCAAAACATCTCTTACATAACAGCTTCTAGGTGACACAGGCCATCTGCTTTCTGGATTTCAAACCTCTCCACTCTTCGGAGAACTCCTCTGGGAATTTCATCTGAAATTTTCGTGCAACAGTTAAAGGCCCCAGGAAACAAAGCTAAAAAGAGTAATAACAATGTTAGAAACAACATGAGTATGAAGGGGAAGAATTATAGCTTTGACTGCACAGAATGACAGAATGGTTGAGGTTGGAAGGAACCTCTGGAGGTCACCTGGTCCAACCACCCTTCTCAAGCAGGGCCACTTGGAGCCACTTGCCCAGGACCCTGTCCAGATGCCTTTTGAATATCTGCAAGGATGGAGACTCCACAACATATCTGAGCAACCTGCTTCAATGTTTGACCACACTCACAGCAAAAAAAAAAAGTGTTTTCATGCGTTCAGATTGAATTTCATGTGTTTAAATTTGTGCCCATTGCCTCTTGTCCTGTCAGTGGGCATTACTGAGAAGAGCCTGGCTCCCTCTTCTTTCATTCCCATCAGGTATGGGAATGATGGTTACACCACCTTGATGAGAACTCCCTTGAGCCTTCTCTTCAATATCCCCTGTTCCCAACAACTGGTAATGTGGTTAGCATAACTAGCACCATTTTATGAGGCAAGCAGCCATTCTGTGTGGCTGAGTCACATATTCATTCCCTTTCCCTCATTATCAGGCCCTGAAGGTTCTGTGAACCAAGTAGACACAACCAGATTTCTTCTTCCCTTCCTTTCTGGCCCCCAGCCCCCAGCATGTACCATTGCCTGGTGTTATTCCTCCCCAGAGGCAGTATTTTGCATTTCCCCTTGTTGAACTTCATGAGATGCCTCTCTGCCTGTTTCTACAGCCTGTTGAGGTCTATCTGCAAGGCAGCAAAACCATGTGGTGCATGAGCCCCTGCTCCCAGTTTTTTATCATCTGCAGATTTGCTGAGGGCACATTCTGTCCCATTGTCCAGGACATTAATGGAGATGTTAAACAGTATTGGCCCCCATGTTGACCCCTGGTTCATCATTGGTGACTTGCTTCCAGTTCGACTTTGTGCCACTGATCACAGCCCTCTGGACCTTGTTGTTTGTTTTCAGACCACCTCACTATTCGTTCATCTAACCTGTACTTTGTCAGCTTGTCTATGATGATGTTATGGGAGACAGTATCAAAGGCTTTACTGAAGTCGAGGTAAACAACATCCACTGCTCTCTTCTTGACCACCAAGCTAGTCACCTCATTGTAGAAGGCTATCAGGTTGGTCAAGCATGATTTCCCCTTTATAAATCCATGCTGACTACTCCTGATCTCTGTGTTGTCCTTCAGAACTTCGGAAATGCTTTCCAGGAGGATTTTCTCCATCATCTTCCCAGGGATTGAGGTGAGGTTGACCAGCCTATAGTTCCCTAGATCTCCTTGCTGTTCTTGAAGATAGGAGTGCCATTTGCTCTCTTCAGTCTTCAGGAACCTGTCCCAGTAGCCATGACTGTTCGAAGATAGTTGACTGTGGCCTCAGAATGACATCAGCCAACAGCCTCAGCACTGGTGGGTGGTGCATCCCATCTGTCCCTGTGGCCTTACGTAGGTCCATTTTTTTCAAGGGGTCCCTAATTTGGTCCTCCTCCACTGACATAAGTCTTCCTTTCTCCAGACTTTCCCTCTGGTCTCAGGGACCTGGGATTCCTGAAGGACAGTTTGAATGGTAAAGAGTGAGGCAAAGAAGGCGCTGCGTACCTCAGCCTTATCCATGCCGTTTGTCACCAGTTGCCCTGCCCCATTTAGCAGCGGGTTCACATATTCCCTCCTCTCTCTTTTGTTATTTATGTACTTGTGGACTCCTTTCTTTTTGCACGTCACATGCCTTGCCAGATTGAACTCCAGCTTAGCTTTGGCTTTCCTAATCCACTTCCTGCATGATCAGACAGCAGCTCTATACTCCGCCTGGGTCACCTGCCCCTGCTTCCACCCCTTTGTTCCATACTTTGTTTTTTTGTTTGAGTCCCATTAGGAGCTCTATGCCCATCCATGCAGGCCTCCTGCCATTTTGCTTCATTTTCTGTTTGTTGGGACAGACCTTTCTAGAGCTTGAAGGTGGTGACTCCTGAGTATCAGCCAGCTCTCCTCGACCCCTCTTCTATCCAGGGTCATATTGCATGGGATTCTTCCAAGCAGGTCCCTGAAGGGGTTGTAAATCTGCTGTCCTGAAATCCAGGGCTGTGATCTTGCTTTTTGCCCTGCTCCTTTCTCCTAGGATCCTGAGCTCCACTATCTTACAGACACTGCAGTGAATGCTGCCTCTGACTTCCATGTCCCTGGCCAGTTCTTCCGTGTTTGCAAGTATCTCGTCCAGCTGAGTGCTTTTCCTTGCTGGTTCCTTGATTACTTGTGCCAGAAGTTGTCATCAATACACTTGAGAAATCTTGTAGATTGCTTGAGCACTGCTGTGTTGTCCTTCCAGCAAGTATCAGAGTGGTTAAAGTCCTCCAAGAGGACCAGGGCCTTGAACGTGAGGCTTTTTCCAGCTATTTGAAGAAGGTCTCATCTACTTCTTCCTGGTCAGGAGGTCTATAGCAGACTCTGCCTACAAAGTCACCCATGTTGGTCTGCCCACTAGTCCTGACCCATAAGCTCTCAGTTGGCTCATCATCCATCCCCAAGTGGAGCTCCATGCATGCCTGCTGCTCTCTTGCATAAAGAGCAACTCCCTCTCCTCACCTTACAGTCTGTTCTTCCCAAAAAGCCTATATCCCTCCATTGCAGCACACCAGTCATGTAAGCCATCCCACCATGTCTCCATGGTCTCAGCGGACCACGGAGCTAGCTCTCTAGCTAGAGCTAGCTAGACCTAGCTCTCTACCTGCAGATAGACTTCTGACTCCTCCTGTTTGCTCCCCAAGCTGCATGTAGTAGTGGAAGGGCATTTCAGAGAGGTGTTGAGGGCTAGTTATCTTTACAGCTCATGGGATGAGATACCATCCTCTCAGCTTCTCCCACAAGAGAGATGGGTGTTTTTGTCGTTTAAAGAACAGTTTCCTCCACCTCTCCATGTGCACGTGTGTGTAAAGGCTTGTTACAGTAAAATAAAAATGATTCAGAAGATATTTAAGTGTTTTATTTGTGGAAGAAGATGACCAATGTTAATGACAAAGGAAGTGTCAGGAGTATAATTTAAAGGCTCTACCTTGTGATGTTGAATCAGTCCCATTATCTTTTGTCTTTGAAATTATTAATGCTGCTGCTGGGTGTTATGTTTTCGTTTGCCCCAAGGGCTCTCATGGCTGAATGTATCTCCACTAGGGAATGATCTCCTGCAGATCTTTTCCTGCTTGCTAATACCATCTTGAAAATAAAAAGTTACTGAACCTTAAAAAGCAGATCATAGCTCAAGATTTTTTTTCTGACAACTGCTAACATTTTGGTGTCTGATTTTCTTCTTCTCTAGCACAGAAATAGATCTCCTAAAAGGGATTCCCTCCATCAGCGCAAGAACAAGCAAAGCTATGTCGCTCAGGGAGTTATCTAGGATGTGAGGGTCTCAGGATCAAACCCATGCTTCAAAGTGAGCACAGCAAGGACCCCTGTGTCCCAGTCCGTGAACTAATCTGGGAGATTACGCCGGAGATGAGAAGTCTGTTTAAAAATGTTCCTGCAAGCAAGAAGATTGTGTGCTCGGTTCCTCACAAGAGTGCTCGCTAAGCGCTGGAATAACGGTTGCCGGCAACGCTGCGGCGGCGAGCTCGCGCGGC